CGCGAGGTTGGAAAACTCCTCCGCTTGAACAAGGCACTTTATGGCCTTCGTCAATCACCGCTGCTCTGGCAGAGGGAGCTCTCGTCAACGGTGCAGAGCCTTGGTTTCGAGGTCGTGCCGCACGAACCCTGCTGCTTCACCAAGAACGGCATCATCATCTTCTTTTACGTCGACGACATTGTCTTCGCGTACCACAAGTCACAACAAAAGGAGGCTGAAGCAGCGATGAAGCAGCGTCGAGCCAAGTACAAACTGACGGGTGGAGGACCAATTCACCACACAGTCGCCGACTGCGTTCTCCTCTACTGGAAACGCACCAGCCATTTAGCACTCCAATTCGGAGGAGAAGACGACATGCGCACGGCGAGCAATTCATCATTTGCCGACAACAGCCTCGACCGCAAAAGCTCACAAGGATACACGATGAAACTGTTTGGCGGTCTCATCGGCTGGCGTGCAAACAAACAAGACACGGTCACCACATCAACGACCGAAGCTGAGCTTTTGGCGCTCAGTCAACCTGCCAAGGAAGGCATGTACATGAGCCGACTACTCACAGACTTGAAGGTCTCTCTTGACGAAGACGCTGTCACCCTGGAGTGTGACAACACCCAAACCATCCGACTGGTTACCTCTGAGCTTCCAACGCTCCAAACAAGACTAAGACACGTCAACATCCACGACCACTGGCTCCGACAGGAGGTGCAGAGAGGCACCATCAAAATCCTGTATAAACGGAGTGTCGACATGATTGCCGACGGCTTGACCAAGGTCCTAACGAACCAAGCCTTTGAGCGGTTCGTAGCCCAATTGGGGCTGGTGGATGTGACGGACCAGTTGGATGAACGAAGAAGGGCTGAACGAGAGGCTGAAGAAGGAAACCACAAAGGGACAGTCTGACGCACTAAAGGACCTACGGTTGGCACACCAACACCAGTTCTGACTGACAGTTGCGCCGTATTCCGGCTGCAACTGGGGGGGTGTGTTGAACTGAGTGGGTTCCTTAGCACCAAGATTCACGGACTGAGCACTGATGTTCAATGCGAGACTCTCAGTCAACACAGATCCATCACAATGACGCAGTTCCTGCCATAAACGCCATATCATAGCACACTGTCTCTATATAAGGGGGGTAATTCCCCTGGGAGGATTAGAGAGGACGAATTTATTAGAGAGGACGAATTTTTCTGTTCCAAAAAAAAAAGGGACATTCTGAGACACCCTAACCCACTATCTTGATCCTTCATTTGTGTGGTCACTCTGGAATCGTGACTCCAATTCAAGCTTCGTTTCATACCTCAATCTGTTCAATACCATTTGGTTGATCTAAGCTTACTTGAGCATGTAACTGTTGGCTGCCCAACAGGAGCTTTGGGGTTGACCTCTTGACATATGCTTGGGAATTGGGGCGCTTTGGTGGGAGTAAGGGGCACTTGTCGCTCCAACATCCTTTCCTGCCACATCGGGTGCACAATCCTTCTCTGCGCCGGCGTTGAACCTCCTGCTCGCTTGCCCACTTGGCTCTCTTGCCTGCCAGTTCCTTATTCTGCTTCTGGATAGCTCTGTTGATCTTGGTAGGCTCCCAGTCCATAACGTCCGGACGGGGGACATTGGTTTGTTCGGTGTTCTGGGCTCTCTGGGTAGGGGGGTTACTCCCAGTTAGGAAGGTGGCGCAGCTTCTTCTCTGCTCTCCGCTGGGAAAACCTCTGGGCATCAATGTTGGCACCCAACTCGTGAAGCTCTCGTACAAACCCCAAATAGTCCTTCGGTAGATGAAGCATCGAAATGAGGTAGGTCTTCATCTCCTTGCTGAGCGCCCTCCGGAGGTAGTTGATCCGAACGGCGTCGGACCATGCAGCACCTCCTGCGTCAGCTAGTTCTTTCTCGAACCTTGGGTAGAACGCGGCGAATGATTCCTTGTCTCCTTGAGCCATCTCGTCGAGGCTGTTGAGGGCGTGTTGGGCTACGTTGGGGTCCTCATAGGTAGAGGTCAAGTAACGGAGGAAATCTACCGGGTTGTGAGCTCCCCCTGGGCCTCCGCTTTCGTAGAACGCCGCTGCCATTGCCTGGGGTAAGACCCCTAAGCGAGAATAAATGTAGGTGAACTGGTCGGCGGGAGGCCCGAGGAGACAGCCATCTGTCCGCAGTTTGCCCTCCATCTCCAGCTTCCAGCTCCTATAATTCTTCCGGTTTCCGTCGAAACGGGGGGGGTTCCGGCAAAGTCATCTTCTTCTTGGTTTGAACAGGCGGAGTAGGTGGTGTTGGGGTTGGTGGTGACGTTGAGGTAGCCTCTGGGACTGGCGTCGAGGTCGGAGGTGTGGTGCCTAGAGAGCCCCCCTGCGAGGTTGTGATGTGGTCCTGTAAGACTCTGATCTGCAGTCGGGTGGCTTCCCTCTCGTTGGCCTGCTCGGCTCGAAGGCTGTCCATCTGGTCCTTCAACTGGGCTATCATCTGCTGGTTCTGGTCTCGCATCTGGGCCATCATCTGGGCCATCATCGCTGCCAATTGCTGGGCGTCGCCCTG